CAAATATATATATATATATTATATATAAATCATTGTGTGCTTGCAATTTGTTTTTCTCAATTTCCGACTGCTGCAACTATTGTCTTCTCAGTATCCAGATACCCTTGTATAAGCTACAAAGTGGTTAATTTCTACTCCTACGCGTGTTTCTATGAACCCAACATAGCGGTGTGTTTGTCTTAGTCCCCTTCTATTCCCACTCTTCTTTTAATACAACCCCAATCCGCAGACCCACATGCGCCTCATAAATATTTGGCAGCAAAGTATTTTTTGAACAACACAAATCCATATGCCCAGTTGCCATGAGAACTGCGGCGTTTTCATCTCTCCCATAAGTTCACACGAGCCGCTCCAGACAAATGCCCAGTCAAAAGCCCACATGCGCCTTGCATTGGCATCAAAACTCTATTGAAACCCATTTATTCTCATTCTCTCATTCTCCGTATCAGCACAACTGCGAGTTCTTTCCTCTCTCCTTCTTACATGTGCCCACACTCCCCACATTGGCAGCGCACAAGCGTGTCGTTAAGATACACGTCCACTCACCTTCCCGCACGATTTCTCTCAATGCTAGATACGATCCCTTCAGTTATTAAATCTCCCTGGCTACTAATTCGTGCGCCTAGTTGGAGTGTGGACTAAAGTAGCACGCATTAGCAGCTTGTTAGCGTGGCATTTGTACATTATGCACTCACACCCACACTCGCTCTCTCGCATTGCAGTACAGCAGCGTGGAAACCACCGTCAGTGTCATCGTGCCTAACCGCGACGCAGCACAACACCAGCGAAACACCTACGGCAGCCTCACTCCACAGCGACGGCACAGGCCACGGTTCTACAGTGCAGACAGTGGGCGCTCCACACCTCAGTCCGACCTGTACTTCCTACCCACGCTACGGCGGAATAGGAGAGTAGGTTGAGTTATCGTGAGTGGTCAATTGGGTATTAAATACGCCATTTTTTGTGTGTGTGGGGAGGCGCGCGGGAGTGGGGGGGGTAGGTACTCGGATGGGAAGTTTGGCTAGAGAAGGAATGGATATCTGTTCGTTGTATACAATGTAAATAATCATATATGTATATA